GCACTCGGAATAAAGGTGGGTGAATGAAAACTTTTTGTCGTTTCTGCCAGGCTGCTAGACGATTCATTGCTAACTTGTTGTTTGCAGATACAATTCCCCAAACAATTGTGTCCGAGTCTAAGCCCTCCGCATTCCCCTCAGCACTGAGAGCCAAACGATCAGCAGTCCAGACCCTATCAGCAGAAGACCGGAAGACTGAGGCCATCATCGAGCGTACATGCAACGACTGTGGAAGAAAGCAGATGTTCTACACTACGGTGCAACTTCGCAGTGCCGATGAAGGAAGTACCGTCTTCTACAGATGTGTCTGCGGATTCAAGTATGTCCACCCACCTGAACAGCATATATCTATGAATGCTCAACAAATACTAATTATTTTGACAGGGAAACCTCCAACAATTAATCTTGGAAACGTGGATTGTACAAAAGATATGGGAAAATGTCTATTTTTGGAGAAAGGCTGTATAACTAGCTATTAAAATCACGACCGTCACGAGACAAATTTCTTTTTTTGCACGATATCCATCACGCAGCAATGGGTGCAGCGCTATCCGGGATCAGCGCATATTGGGTTTCACCATTCTTCTCAAACTCTGCCATGTCAAGAGCAACAATGACACTGTCTCTGACCACCTGATCGTGGTCATTCAAGAATTTCTTCAGGGTCTCCTCCACACCCTCCTCCTCGCCCAGACTGCCAAGGGCCTCCGCCGCTTCGTGTCGTACCATTCCTACTTCTGACAGGTCACTCAGTGAGGCTGTGAGACTAGGGATCGAGGCAGGGTGGCAGAGTTGTCCAAACACAAAGGCAACCTCATGACGGAAGAGAGCAGATGGGTCCTTGAGGCCCTTGGCCAGCGCGTTGACGGCATCGACTGCTGTGGGAAGATCAGGGGGCGAGGCAAGGTCGCGCAGACCGAACATCGCACGGTACCTTTGGAACAGAGGGAGCTTTGTGTCAAGCAGTGTCTTTTCCAGGTCGGGGATACAGGGTTCAGTGCTGGCCTCTAGGGGCATGGGTGGAGCAGGGTCGATAGAGGTGAAATCACTGTAAATCAAAGATCTCAATGTCAGCATTTCTCTTCATGGTATATAATATCCCGCGCAGATCGTACCTAGGCTTCAATTTCTCGGCCTTGCGCTCTTCTGAGTTCTCCCACAGGATTCGGTCGACAGCAATGTCGCAAGTCTCCCGAATGATATCCAGTTCATTTGTATCATCCCTCAGTCTCTTGAGGATATCCAAGCTATCCGCGTATCCAAGAGCGCCCAGCGCCTCGGCAGCCTCATGGCGACACATCGCATCCTCCTCGGCATCCTTCACCACATGCTGAAGGTATGCGACAGATTCGAAGTTTTTGGTTTGGCCGAGGCAGTAGGCAAGCTCATGCTTGAGCAGAGCTGAGGGTGACGCGAAACCTGCGGCGATTGCTTCGATGGCGGGGAGGGTCTGGTCTGTAGTGGGCTGTAGGCAGGCCAAGTGCTTGAGGGAGAAAAGAGCGCGGAAGCGGCGAGCAAGCGGCTCAGATTCGGAAACCAGAACCTTTCGGAGAGTATGAACGGTATTATCTGTTTCGGAAACCATTTTGAGGGGTGTGGTTAGAAGGACCTCGGGAGTATAAAAGGAAAGAAAAGTTGTTAATCTTTTTGATCTTATCAATTTTTAGAGTGGGGGGTGGCGGGGCCCATTCAGGCTTTAGCTGCACATGGGTTTTTGCTCGTACGTTATTGTCTTCAATGCTTCCGGTGTAAGCTCAACCCATATCTCTGGATTGAACTATTCTGATGGTTTTTTTATATGTTGTTGTAGGTTTAAGTGTTGAGTATGCGGGTTTTCCTAGGGAGCGTTGATCTTATGTAGAGAATATATATAACTAGTTATACAATATTTTCCGCCATAAGGACATTCATTCCATATGTATATTCTAGTGATCCTTGAGCCTTAATCAAATAGAAGTTATTACACTTGTTGTACACATACGGTGATACCCAAAATATCTAGTCAATATCGGAATAGAAGCTTGAATGGATCAGTTCGAAGCACCACAAAACTAAAGCTAGCCCCTATTTTATTTTGGAAAATCATTGCTCGGATGCACCATGCTCATGCAATGATTATAGTAGAAAGCACATTGGGATCCGAGCACAGCTGGGTTGAGACCTATCGGACAGTTGGGGCTACAGGCATCGGTTGACGGACTTTCCTAGGCAACTTTGTTCAATGCCATCAATAAAATAAAAATTGAGCTAGCCAAATACCTCGCACTTCGTAGCTACTCACTTATTTATGCTCAGCTCACAGTAAATGCTACTGGACTGGGAATCGGTTTCTTGGCTGGAAGCCCTAAATTGTACATCGTCCCCTTCTTTTTGATCCTGGTGGTTGACTGGTAATTGTTGGCCTTAGATTATAATGTTTAAAGATGATCTATGTTAGAATACGATATATAGGAGTGCTTGAAATTGATTTCGAGTGGGAAACTGGCAAATATGTACATAATACAGCGCGAAGTCAAATCATTTGGTCTTGATGTGTCTGAGCTTCTTGGGTTCGTGAACGAAGTTGTTGGCGTAGGACTTGGGCACAAAACGGCGCTCGTTTGGTTCCTGAACAAAGTATTCATAGCCCTGCTTCTGGGCAAAGTTGATTGCGTCTTCCTTCGACTTGAACTTTAGGTTGGTGCCCTGCATGCAATCGGCAGACGACTGCCAGCCCATGAGCGAGTTCTCCCAACGGTGGCCCCGCTGCAAGATATCCCAATCCATACGCCAGTGGTGCTGGTGCCAGGTGCCGGACTGTGTTGCGGCCTTGGTAGGGCGGTAGATACTGTGGGAATCATTGGTTAGTTTGTGGGGGCTAGGCGATACGGCTTCAAATTTGTATAACATACCGGACAGTGCGGGCCTGGAGATCGGTAGGGGCCCCGGAGAGAACGGCCGCGGGGAGAGTGTTGCCGGGCTCGCTACCATCCATGACGCGCTTGGGCACCGGGGAGAATTGCCTTAATTGAAGCCGAAGAGTTAGTGAAAGGATCTGCGACGGAACCAAAGGGGGATGTCGTACGAGGTGCCATGATCAATGGTGGCCTCATAATCCGGCTGGTGACGGGCCATAGCCTCGGAAGGGGTCTCCTTGGTGATCAAAGAGCTGTCCTTGGGAGGCGTAGTGGGAGCATCCGTGGTGGTGGTCTTCACGGAAGGAACGGCCTTGGGGGCATTGACGGAGACGAAACGGGCATTGACAGGCGCAGCGAGTCGACTGACCCGAAGGCTAGCAGCACCCCCAATTCTGAAGAGTGACATTGTGTCTTTTTTGATGTGGGAAATGGTCGTTGCCAGTGAGGACTCCCTTCAAGTGTGGTTTGGTTGCGAATTACAGGCAGGTCACGACACCGCCGAATCGGGTTTAGCCGGGCTTGGCAAGCCGAACATCCGCAGGGCTCGGTTTGTTCCTCCTTCCTCCTCCATCAGCTTTCTTTGGTTCACTTGCGCTGCGAATCAACGTAAGTCCACGCCTCTACCGCCCTGCAAATACTCATTGTGAGCCGCTTTATTCAGAGCGACCAGTTTCTGACCCCTTTCAGCCTAGACAAGATGAGCTACATTGCCCGCCGAGGTCTCTCGACCTTGATCCCCCCCAAGGTAAGAACACCGTCATTCATAACTATTTGTACTCATGCGATTCTTGAAATGATGCTAACTGTCCCTCTAGGTCGCTTCCCCTAACGTGAGTTACCCATGCGCTGCCATCTTTGACTTAGTGCATTCCTTCCACACCCGTCCCGCCCCGAAGCCGTTTTTCGTGAAGCCCGCAATTTGATTCCAAATGCCGCCTTTCTTCCGCCTTCATAACTGACATATTCTCAATCAAGGCTATCGGTGCCGCCCAGGATGCCGCCCGCATGGAGCGTGTTGTGACCTTCTACGCTGGTCTTCCCCGTGGGCCTGCCGCTGCTGTCAAGCCTACCGGTCTCATCGGTCGCTACCAAGCCCGCTACTTCAACGGCAAGAACGCCTCCGGTGTTCGTACGTATTCGTCAATTGTCCCATTATATTGATATAAGTGCTAATTTTGACGCAGCCCTTATCCACGCTATTGGCGGTATCTTGATCCTGGGTTACAGCATGGAATACTACTTCCACCTGCGTATGTGTTTGCCAGCTATCAAACTGCTTGTATACCCTCTTTATATTAGGGACACCACTGACTTGATTTCTTTGACTAGGTCACCACAAGAACCACCCCCACTGAGCTTTCCTTTCTCATCGAATAGGTGGAGGATTGATGTATATACTGGATCCTCTGTCCTAGTGCAAGGGACTGGTTTTAGCGAGAATTTTAGAATCTCACTGTGTTTCAATATTCAGATTTACTGTCCTTTGTTGTTTTGTCGTAGTTTGGAGTAGATTTGGAAGTATACATATTAAATAGCAGCTTGAGTGACAGGCTCTTTCCACAGTTTTTTTCATCGCATATGGACTTCACACCATATATCAAGAAATCCCCGGGAATTCTGATTCGCAAGCAACGACAGCATCTAACAAAACCACTGCTTAAATCGATCAAAACAACAAAAAACCAGGGCTTTCGAAGGGATTCAAAAGGTGTGTGGGCAGACCTCACAACTTTCGTACGGGCCACGCTAAACCGAAAGCAGCGACCCTCAGCTTCAACCCGAGTTGACTCTTGAATCTCGTATCATCTCCCTATCTTTGTATCATCAACCGTCCTTACGCATACTCCCTCCCTCTTTGCTCTAATCCCTTTCTGGGACCACCTGGGCTGCGGATTTCCCAAGACACACGCGCCTCTCGATTCCGCGATCGTGCTCTCCACACCGAGCCCAACTTGACACGGGCTTTCTCATCAACATCCGAGAAGTTGACCCCATCTCTGGTTGTAATATCCCAAATATTCAGGGTGCAACCAGTCAAGGAACCAGTGCAACTGTGGCGATCCTTGGTATCTGACGATAGGTATGTCTTCATGGGAATCTGGCATGTTTGATCTGCGACTGCCTATTACGTCCCCGGATCTATCTCCCCACTGTCAGGGCACATGGCTGACATGGTCGCAATTATTGTATGGAACAGAATCGAGTATTGTTATGGCAGAGCAGAGCAACCGCGATGTGGTAGATCAGACCCTGTCGGGCGGCGAGCCTTCGCCTTCCGACGTTCCTGCGAGCACCAACGACAACCTATCTGCTGGAGGGGACGCAGGGAAAACCGAACATATCGCAATGGCCACTATATCGAACAACTCAAACTTGAATGATCAGCACAATCACGAGAAAACGAACACTCTTGATTCACGGGGGGAAAGCGCCGCCGGTGACAAGAACGCTGGAGGTTCTACGATGGTGAGCATTGCTTCTGGATGCGCTACAAAGCACTTGGCTAACACGGGTGCAGGATACTTCTAAACAGAGCGCCGGAGTTGTCGCGACTCGAGTTCTTGAACTTAATGGACTGGCCTCGGCATCGGATGGCGGAGACGACACAGCATCACAAGGTGGTTCGGAATCGGATGCGAGCCGATCAGATGGCAAGAATCCCACTCATAGTGGCTCAGTCAAAAAGCCAACAGGATTCAAGCCAGTTTCATTTGCCAAGTTCTCGGTAAACAAGGTCCCGGGGGCCCCAACACCACCTAAGGTGCCGGAGAAAGGTATGTACTTTCTTAAACATCTCTCATAGTTGGTTCTAACTTGCTTAGTGCCAACTTCTACAACACCACTCGGTACCCCACAGCCAAGCTCCCGACCGCGCTTGGTTGCGAAGACTACACTCGGCATGCGTGATTCCTTTTCGAAGACTGGAGCAGGCGGAGGCAAGCCTGGTGGATCAGGGCCTGATCCAAATCAAGTGTGGAATAAAAACAGACGTATGTATTGGTCATGCGATGGGGTGGAATCCTGTAAACTGACATTGATATCTGTGTAGCTGTTGTGCCCGCTCCTCCGAAGCATTTGACTGACGAGGAATTGAAACAACAATACGGGATTCATATGACTTCTCGTATCCAAGAAGATGGGGCTGTTAGCTCTGAAGCAAAGTGGGCGGATATTGATGATGATGAAGACGATTGGGCCCCTGAGACGATTGAGTGGACAGATGGAACTAAGGTCAATCTCACTCAACATCACAATGAACCCCCACCGGCTCCTAGTCGTCGGGAGCCCAAAGAGCTGCCGCCTGTAGAGCCAACCGTCGTGAAGGAACCTCCCAAGCTTGCGCCGAAGCCAACTGTATCAATGGGGTCTCGTGCCATGGTCCTCAAAGTGGGAGCGAACGCTGAACGGCAAGCGAGAACCGCGAGTGCTTCTTCTAGCGGCACAAATGACAAAGTCCCATCTAGCTCTACAAGCCCAGCACCGCCATCCAAGTCTCCTTGGGCCGCTCTGCCTCCCGTCGAAAGAGTGTCTCCAGTCATTGCCCCTCTTCAGCCTCACCAACAGCGCATGCCCGTGAGATACCCCCAGAGAGATGATGGCCACCATGGCCCAATGTCAATACCGCCTAAGGAGATTGCAGCGGATGATTTCAACCGTGCATGGAAAGACCAGTCGGATCTGCCTCAACTTTTCAATCCTCGATCTTCCCAGTACGAGCCGGTGGCGGAAACCAGGAGAGGATCTTGGCGTCATGACCAACACCCCCGTGCTCCTGCGGTTTTGCAGAGGCCAAACGATCATCCAAGTGGACCGGCAGAGCCATCTGCTGCATTCCAGACGCACAGGTCTAGTCATCAAGATGGTATGGGCTGGGGTGGTCGTCGTCGCACATCATCAAACGTGAGCGGAGGAAGCGGAGGGTTTGGCCGTAGGATGTCAGTTGGCCGATTTGATGCCCCTCCCAGACACAATGATGCTCGAAGAGGTTCTCAGGTGAACGGCCTGGGTGATTCAGCAATAGTGGGTCACGAGCAACACCATGGCAAAGACGAAACTACTATGTCTGGTCCAAATGGTACAGCTCGTCCAGCTGTTGATGTAGGTCTGTCTCCTGTGGAAACACCGGCGGTTCCTCAGGTTCCGCAAGAACCTCAGGAGGACCCTGTTGCTTTACAAGAGCGTATTATGAAAGAGAAACGGCTAGAAGCGAGGCAACGAAGAATTGAGCAGGAGGAGAAAGAGGAAGCGGCTAAAAAGGAGAGGATTAGGCAACGTCTCGCGGCGATGGGTCCTGCGCCAGAGAAGAAAACTCCCGAAACGCGCAACCCCCCCTCTCTTCAATCTCAACCTCACCCTCAACCTCACCCTCACCCTCACTCTCTTCATCCTCCCCAAACCCCTTCCCAACTTCCTCATCCACCTATCCATTCTATTTCTTCACCCCCCAAACCTCCTGTTCCAGAACCCAATCGGGAACCGAAACAGTATGGTATGATGAAAGTGCATCATCCCGACTCTGTCAAGAAATTCGTTGGTGCACATGATCGCACATCTGAGAGCAAACATCTCAACCGACGTGTCTCATCACCCCACCAAGAACCCCATCGTGACTCTGCACCTTCATCTACCTCCCACCTCAAGACTGAACCCCACTCACCCGTCCAGAGCAAGGCATCTGATGCCAAGCTTGACGAGCACGGGACTCAGTGGCAAGGTAATTTAACTTCGACTTCACCCTGGTCTCATCCCAATATTGCTGTGCCTTCCACATCCGCCAAAAATCTGTGGAAGCCCTTTGGCAGTGACCGCACTCCGACTCTCGGTAACGGAATCTTTGACCAACCTCTGGGGACTTTTACATCACGTGAAAACCCTCTAGGCCAACTCGGCATGGATTCGTCAAATATGCCTACCCCTCCCAAGTTCTCTGCTCCTAAGGAGCCAACCGATTCATTGCCGTCACCTGAGGCACGCCACCCCTCATTTGACACCCTTAACCCAATTGGACGCCCTAGCCCAATTGGCCCGCCGAGCAACCGGAATTCTCGTGCCATTAATGATTGGAATAACTTCCATGAGAACGCCCTGGAGAAGGAATCCCAGAACGCCAAAGAGTTCCTCAAGAGACTCCATGACAGACAGAACGGAGCCCCAGCCCCGCCACCCGCGCCTGTTGTATTCAGTGAAACCTGGAAAAAAACACGTGCCACTGAAGATGGCAGACGAGTTGTCACACAGGTCACTGAAAGGGTTGTCAACAACGACGAAGACATCGCCAAAGCGAAGGCAGCTGCCGCCAACCAGCAGTCCAATCCTCTTACGAGCCTTGATACTCCTATGGATGGCCTGAACGTGTCTGACATTGGTGTTCGTCCAACCGGCAATGTTCCCACGCGGAGCTCTCGATTCTTCCCCCCGGCATCTGAACAGTCGAAGCGCCAGGTCGCCGAGAAGGAGCGCAGTAGTCCTTCGCCTCCCCCTCCAGAAGAAGTTACCACCCATCCTGTGTACTCCGGAGACTCGAGTCGCCCCCACGTTAATCTTCCGACCCCCAAGCCTCCAAAGCCTGTTGTTAAGCTGCCTCCTAAGGCCATTGGTGCTCCGGCGCCCCCGCCGACATTTGCTTCTATGGCAGCTGCACCACCGCGTAACGTGGGCCCTCCTTCTTCGACTGCGCTGTCGTGGCAGGACAAGATCAATGGCCTCTTCGGCAAGACTACTCCTACGCAGAAAAAGAGTGTCTTAGCTGTGACATCAGCTACCAAGGAGCCCCTTCCGGTTCATGCAGCTCCTGTCTCTGTCTCTATTCCACAGACCAAGCTCAGCTCCCAGCCTGGGGATGGCGATTTCGCCGTTAGACAAGTCAACGAACAAGATGAGATGTTCGAAGACCGCGAACCTGGGTCTCTGCCTGCTGTCCGTGTGCCAAATATGGCACCCCAGAATTCTTGGAGCGCAACTCGTCCTTCAGAGCGATCTCGCGGCAAGAGCTTCAAGCCGGTGCAAGCACAGAGTATTCAGCCGTTCCTGGTTGGACACAATGATCGAGACAACCATGGCAACATTCGTGCTTCGGTGTTCCTTCCAGGCGGCTCTGAACCCAAAGGTTTCTTGATTCAACGCAAGGCTGGTCCGACTCGAGGCCGCAATTCCAATACCAATACAAATGTCAATGCCAGACCCCGCAAGGGAATTAACAATAAATCCGGCGATGTTTCTGGTGGCTCTAAGAAGCCTACCCCTATCACCGCCTCACGACAACAACCGCGCCAGCGGTCGGGCTGGAGCCCCGAACCCCCCACTTCTCGTTAAGAAGTTTTGGTTCTGCAAACATGTGGATTATCTTCAAGCGTTTTCGGTATTTTCGTTTTACTCTATCTTGCCTGGGAGGCGAGAACTTGGGCCATTCTCGCTAACTCCTAATCAACATCTGTTTTCACGACTCTTGTTGCCATTGCCCACTTCGTTGCTCTTCTGGAATTCGGCCACAATCCAGATACTCCTCTACCCTCTTCACGCATTTGCGTTTCTCTTGTAATTGTGATTTCCGTTTTTTCCCCTATGTGTCTCCCCGACCCATTCAGGACTCCGGCCTTTCTTTTGGCTTTTGATGTGTGGATGACCGTCATCTACCTATTCAACGTCCTGTCTGCGTGATCATTGCTCGAGTGGTGCATGCTTGTTCCGACCTAGCAGTATCACATTGCCTCATGTTGCAGAGTATTCAGCCAAATCCGCACCGATACTTACCAAGAGAATTCCATTGTTACAAATTTCAGTCCCTTTGTCTGCCGTAAACGTAATTTCCAACCCTCACGATACTTAAAGAGGGTTTGATACTGTGTGGTCTGTGGGGTTGCCTCGTAACAACTTTAGCAACTTGAATATCCTAAAACATGTATGCTCCGTCAATCTACTACTTCCACAGAGTGATCAATTCCAAGAAAATCCATCCAAGAGGCGACAACGTTGTTCACATCACACTTTCACCTGTCAACTCCCTCGTCAAACCCCAAGCAAGCATCCTGCTCTCGAGGTGCTGCGCCCTGACCACTGTGATTTATTCCAGCGAAACTGCCCAGGTGAAAGCCTTGTGTAAGACCACGACCAAGAGCTCAACGAATGTCTTGTCTAGGCCATGGGCTAAACGTGTCTTACAGATTACTGGGAAGGACGCACGCATTCGAGACCGTGACGAGAACATGCGACTTGGACACGTCCCGTAGCCTTGATTTCAACTGCCCTATTCTTTCGAACCTACTGATCCATAACACCGAACTGTCATGCCCAAGAAGCCACCAGAATTTTAGCTTGAAGCACGCTCTTCGCCGATTTCTGCAAACAAATCCGAATTGAAAAGGCAGGGGGTCATCTCTTTGGGCGTCAGGGAAGAGATCTATGCTATAGCTGAGATGGGATACTTGGTCTTTCTACGGGACTATTGTGGAGGATTGCGGTGATATGGGGGTCACATACTTTATACTCAAGCTAAGTGTGGGAATATGGAATTGGTTGGGTTGTTAGGGGTAGTCTGTTCAAACGGCGCCTTATTGGGTTGTTTTATATGGCTTGGATCGCACACTCAAATGTGCTGCCGAGACAGATATGGAGACCTGGAAAGATTTGATATCCCGAGCAATGAAAGGCTTTCAATTAAAGAACAGGCTTAGAAGCACAGGCAGAGGATAGAAGATAATCAAATAATTTACACAAATGATAGGTATCAACCGAGGAAAGAAAGCCCTTATAAGGCTCAAGATAAACGCCTTGTCCCTCGAATACGCCGCTGAGATCAACCGTAATGCCAAAACAACTGCATCGACGCAGAACTAGTGGCATCTGTGATACCACACGTCCGCAGATGACCATAGTTTTGACATCCATAACGCCCCAAAACCAAGCCCGACCATCCATCAGATAATCACGCATATGAGAAACAGCTCGCAGAGAATTGAACAAAAGAACGTGAGTAGAAACCTCCCTCACCAGTTCCAGGTCCGGCTGGAAGCAGCAAAGACAGGAGGCTTCCACTGGAGACGGGCAGGATCGATTTTGCGCGCGCCCTTGATCTCTTCCTTCTTCAGACGCTTTTCGTGCTCCTCCACGACATGGTCTGTGAGTACAATGACCCAATTACCCTTCTGCAAGAGTGTTAGTAAATTGTACAGTATGGTATGTGCTGCAGTGCAGTGCACACTTGTAAGACCATACTTACATGGTATCGGAGCATGTTGAATACAACCAGAGTCTCGTGAACATCCTTCTCAGTCATGGAAGTGAGCACCGCGAGTTCGTTCTCGCTAATAGCTTCTCGGTTTGGCTCGATCAGTAACTCCACTAGCGTCTCGCGCCAGTACTGTCGATAACCAAGTAGACCGAGATCACTGAGTGGTTTTTCGGGGGAACCGAGCTTGCCTTCGCGCTTGCTGAGCTCGTAACTGAACGAGATGAGCAGGCGGCCGAAACCGCGGCGCTGGTATTGTGGCAAAGTCATAATGCACGCCAGGTTATACCCTTCAGCAGAATCTTTCTCCTTGGAGAAGTAGCCGACAAAATGGCAACCGGTCTCGTCGCGTGTAGTCATGCAGTAGAACAGAAACGGGTCAACATCGTAGTAAAGCGTCTTGTGGTCGAGGAAGAGCTTGCTCAGAAGACACAAGTTTCGGCACCAGGTGCGCTGGCGACGGCCGTCGACTTCAAAGAAGGAGATGTAGTCGTCGCGGTAGATCTCGTTACCGGGTGGGTGGGTCAAGGTACATTTTGCGCGATGGCGCTCAAATGCACGCTTGTTGTCGAAGTAGCTGAGGCAGAACTCGTCGATGTAGACTAGGTCGACGTCCGAGAAGGAATCCGGGTACGGTGAGAAGTACCACGGCTCGACGTCATACTTGCCCATCTGGAGGCGGGTCAAGTTTCGTACGCGATGGATCTCTGTCGGGTTCTGTGTCATACTACCACCTGTACGAAGTCGCTCGATTTCCTCCCCGCGTGTAATCACCTCGCCCGTTGTTGTTTGGACTTGATCTTCTTTTACTGATTTGCTTTCCGCTGCAGCATCCGCCATCTCGAAGTCTTCTGACTCGGTGGCCTTCGGCGTGCCGACTGTTGACACAGCCTCAGATGGGAACATCGATGAGTCTCCTCCAGGTGTCTCGGCACCGAGGTTTTCTTTCCCTCCAGCCTTTGAGGGCCGTGATATCTTGCCGACATTCACGTTCTTGCCGCTCAGAATATCGGGTGTTTGTGACAAATCCCGGCTGTCAGCCCGGGCACGCTTATTAGCAGCCACATTCTTGCTAGGAGCCGCTTTGCTAGCAGCAGCGGTCTTCTTTTTATCAGCCTTTTCTGGCTGTGGCCATTCAACTTCTTGGGAGAGATCGATGCGAGACGACGCAACCCATTCTGGAAAAGATAAGTCAGAAAAAGTTCAACCTGCACCAATGCTGGAGCGGGAACTTACCATCAAGACGCTTGTTGAAATCGACATAGTGTACGCTGGGATCTATATCAGCACCAATTCAAAGCACATGATATAAAGAGAGGCAAACTTACTAAAATGAAGGGCCATCCTTCCGCTGCCTAATAGACAGAATCTCAGCTTTTCGCAGTTCTCCGTCCTACACAGAATAGTCAGTATCAAAGCCCAATTGAGGTCGATCACGACGATTGATAATCATGTGATATAGCCACAAAAATCTGCGACCACAGGGTCAAGACGAACCTTCTGCACCATGGCCTTCACACCGATTCTATGAAGTCAGTTAGAATTTGCGACCGATGAAAGTAGACATAAAAAGTCCATGTCTAATTATTTCAGATATAAAAAGCGACGTACCGGATGGTGTTGAGTGTGGCGAACCCTCTATCGACGGGGTCGGGCGTCCCCGTCATCTCCCCGTGGGAATCTCGGACGCCCATATTGTTGGACTGGCAGTAGGGACCGAAGCAATATCAGAGATGGGAATGATGGAATCGAGTAGATACTGTGGTCATTTGGTGATGGGGAAATGATGCGGGAAAGGGAGCAAACTGGGAGAATGTTATGTAAGCTGTTCCGCATCGGGGGGTGCTATACAGGACTTGGATGTATTTCCAGCTGAAGATTTAAAAAATTACATTACAAAGAGGGTAAATCCTTTCATTGCTTGAAACAACCCAAATAAATGATAATGCCGTAAACACCGTCTCCTGTTTTCGGGATTTGCATCCCCTTCCATGTTGCCATGCCATGATCTTGCACATAAAATACAAAGCTCAAACCAACGCCACGCGCCTTGCAATGAATCAGAGACGAAGGGCAGCCGTGAAAGAAGCGATATGTCTCGATCAAAAGACCGTACATCTTTCCTATCACCCTTCAAACTTTCGCTTGACACCATTTGCATTCGCGGACGGTGGCATAGCCTGTGCTCTCCGTTTTTTCTCCTCGTCCCCGGCAGCCATACTTTGCTGGCGCTGCTTCCAAGCTGTTTTGATGATGGGAGCAAGGCGAATGAGATCGTCTTCGGTGACACGGTCCTCGATACTTTCAAGAACCTTTTCAACAGTGGAGATGTGGTTTGCATCGTTCTTGTCATCACGAAGACGATGGAAGCGCCAGCGTCCTTCATTGTCTTTGGCACACTCAACGATAGTGTCATCAAGAGGAATGCCCATGGCTTTGAGATCTTCCCATTCCTTCGGTTCAAGGAACATCTCTCCAAAAAGACGGTACTCGCCCGCATTGAGCATGACGAACAAGTGGCAGATCGGGATAGCGTCGTAGTCCACGTATGGCTGGGTGATACCCTCAGCCTCATCCTCAGTATCTGGCTCGAGCGTCGGAAATTCGAGGCGCATACGGAAATCAACCGTGTTCTCTTGGGGTGGCTTCCACTTGAGGATGTGTTCGTCGGTGCCGATACGGTATGGAGTACTGCGGCAAGTAAAGATGAGACCGTCGTTACCATGAATGCGCTTGACCTTGGGGATAATTTCGCGGAACATCATCTCAATGCCGTAACTGAATTGCGTAGATTTGTCCTCAACTGCGAAGGGGCGGTGATTTTTCTCTTCCGGGAATTTGCGGTACATGGCATTGTATGGCCTGAGCACCTTTTCCTTGAAGTACGCCAGCCGCTTGTCCAGGGTGCGGTGCATCAAGCTTTGTCCGTCCAGCACCAGACAGTCGAAGACCAGATATTTTAGCTGGGTGGTTCCATCCTCGTAGGTGTCGTTGACAAGCTCGCCGTCAACCAGGGTGTCGACGTGGTATCCCTGGAAACTTTCGTCGTTTGGTAGAGGGAAGTGTAGACCAGGTACATAGCGGTAGTCATTCTTGCGATCGATCAGGTAGTGAATCTCCGGCATGTCGGAGTCGGGATCTCCGCGCGCAAAGTACATCAGGCAGCGGATGCCGTCGGTCTTTTCGCAGACAAAGTAGTCCTCCCGTTGTAGCTCGCTGAGGTGGCGTGACGCGAAGCTGACCGGCTGTGCTCCAGGGAAGTTGAGATTGTTGCGCCCAAGGAGTTTGGCGACTTCGCGACGAAATTGATCAGCTAGGTCATGGTCGGCTTTGATTCCTATCGCATCTAGATCAGGGACAGCGTGGCTCATTGTGAAGATTCGAAGATTCGGAGGGGCAGCTTTTGGCAGTATAAGCGTCTCAGCAATGAGTCTGTAGGGCTCAGACTTCCCTCAAGAGTTGGGAGAGGGGTCAAGCTGCGATTAAAAGACTCGGAGAGCTTGGTGGTGGAGTGATAGCAAATGCGAGGGCGCTCGCCCGCAATCGCGACAATATAAACCAGGCGTTTTTCAGCTGCAGGTGGCTTTGTATAAAGAGGATCACCCAAGGGTCATAAGATGGCTCGTTTTGCTCATGCTGTCAGGTTTCAAAGACAATAGATTGGCGAACAGAATGAATTGAGAGATGTCCTGATGCCTCAGGCGCACATCACGTAATCTGAATAGCTTCCCGACCGCCGAGGTCACTGCGGGCTATAGTGCTAGGTGATCTTGTCTAGTGAATTTATTGGAATGTCCTACATGACTGTAGATAGTATATACGCTTACATATGTGCCAGACAGAACTAGAAAAGGTGGAAAGTATTCAATTGCAACTACTTTCGAAACTTCAAATGTACATATCACGCCAGTCGGGGTATCATATCGTCACCTTTCAAAGCAGACAGAACCAGCCTGTACCCATGGCCTATCCAGGGAAATCGAAGAAAGAGAAAGATGCGAA